GAGGTTCAACAAGGCCAAGTGCAAGGTCCTACACGTGGGTCGGGGTAATCCCCAGTATCAATACAAGCTGGAGGATGAAAGGATCGAGAGCAGCTCTGCTGAGAGGGACTTGGGGGTACTGATAGACAAAAGGCTGGACATGAGCCGGCAATGTGCGCTGGCAGCCCAGAGGCCCAACTGTGTCGTTCAGCCTGGAGAAGAGAAGGCTGCGGGGAGACCTGGTTGCAGCCTGTCAGTACTTAAAGGGAGCCTATAGGAAAGATGGGGACAATCTTTTTAGTAGAGACAGCAGTGACAGAATGAGGGGTAATGGTTTTAAACTAAAACAGGGTAGGTTTAGGCTAGATATAAGGAAGAAATCCTTTACAATGAGGGTGGTGAAACACTGGAGCGAGTTGCCCAGAGAGGCAGTGGAGGCCTCATCCCTGGAAACATTCAAGACCAGGTTGGACAGGGCTCTGAGCAACCTGATCTAGTGAGTGGTGTCCCTGCTCGCTGCGGGGGGATTGGACTAGATGACCTCTAGGGGTCCCTTCTGACCCAAAACTTTCTATGATTCTATGATACATGGGGAAACCTGAGAGCAACAACTCTCAACAAAGCCTGTATGTAAGGAAAAACACCATATTCTTAACTTGAGATGAAGACAGGCCAGATTTATGAGGAAAGGCAATATATTTTGTTAGACCAGCTGATACACCTGGAAAAAACAAACCAGCTCCTGAGCACACATTGTTCACAAATTCTCCAGTGCTCTTAGACATTCATGGCTACAATAACACTACTTAGCATTGTTTATATAAATTAGCAGCTTTGAGTAACAAATGGGGTCCCCTGTAGAGGCGGGCTGTGGCATCGTATACACATCCCTGTCTGGTCTCGGGGGCAATGAGGGATGTTTAGGACAGGAATCTTTATTATAATAAAGAATGTGGGTATAAGAATAAAGATCACCTAGCTTCCAGTCTTAATGGTGCAGCTTTGCATGTATGAGCTGCCTTAGTTCTTCAGACTTGAGAAATCTGAGTTTTGTTTCTGTAACAGTTTTTTGGGGTGTTCTCTTGGCTCTTTGCTTGGTGTGAACCACCAGCGCCGTCAACTGCTCGCATGTGTTAGGTGTTGCCTAATCAACATAATTGTCATTCTTTTTGCTTAAATCAAATCACACTGTACTTACAGGCTTGTCTTTCTTTCAGTTTCCTCATAAAGCGGATTTGCAGTATCTTGAGCCTGAGCAACCTGTTTCAGTATTTTAAACTAGTGTCTTCTCAGCCTGCTGGACATGTTTAGCTACATAGAACTAAAGTGAAAGTGGTTTTAACCAGCTCAACCCATAGGTGTGAACAAATTCTCAGTATTTGAGACTGTTCCAGAACTGAAATCTTACTACAAAAGACAAGGATAAAAGTAGTTCTAATATAAGAAGTAAACAAGAAAGCAGAAAGCTTTTAGATTTCTTTCAGTGTCTTCTATCCATTACAGTGCTTAAATAGAACAAAAATGTGTGAATCCAGTTTATTTTTTTTCTTTCTTTCTGTTTTGCAAGTGAACTTTAATGAATATTTAGGAAAAGCTGGGGGGAGTAGGAAGGGAGAAGGCGACCAGAATGAACGCCAGCTTTTCTCTGAGGTCTCATATTGCAGAGCACTTAGATCACTGTAGTGAGGGCTAGCAGGACTCTCCTGTCTTATTGGACGTTGCTAGTCCAAATTCTCTGGAAATATACTTCCCAAATAGTCCCAGCTGTCCCAGGAATGCAGTTTAACCATTGTTGTTCATAGTTCTCGATTGGAAAGAATTAAAAAATGTCATTCTGTCTGAAGATCTATGCACTGAGATTACAACAATTGAATACCAGGAGTCAGGTGAAGTTTGTATCTGCTCTCGCACTTGGGTTACACCCTCCCTCCTTTCTAAGCAGCATGACACAGTACTATATTTTATTCTGTATTTTAAAAAAAGTAAAAAAGATTGCTAGTGTAATAACAACATTTGTGTTGCAGATGATAATTTTTTTTGCTGGTTGCTGTTGAAAGCAACTGCCAAAAAAGCTCAGGGATATGGAACTCTAGGGAAGATAAGGCTTAGAATAGATGCTGTAATCTGTTTTCCTATTTTACTGTCTCAGAAGGATAAAATTTCTGACTATTTCTCTAATTATAATAGATTTCAGTCTGTGTTTGAATCTAATTTGAGGATTCGTAACAGTACGTTTCTTTTACTGCCATCGTTTGTCAATGCATTAAGGCACTGATGGTGCCAGACTTTGGATCCTGATTAGAACTGATGCACAGTGTAGACTTGCAGAGCTAATAACGTCTGAAACCATACCACAGACTTGGGTGCCTAGATGGAAGAAAAACGAATTTATTTTTCAGGCAGCACCGTTCTTGAATAACTGTTTTGGAGTCTTCTAGTTAGTTGCTGTTGAGACTTAAAGCTCCTCTCCAAGCAGAATTGATGTGCCTCTCAGCACCTCTTGCCTACTGTGGTTGGCTGATTGCTTACAGTGTGCCAAAACTTTCTGGGCTTGCATAAAAAATGCAAAGGTTTTTGTTTCTGTAAGTTGCTACAGGTCCCATGCGTTGAAATATGTCAGCAGTCTTAATTTGACCATTAGTCTATAGAAATATGAAAGTTGTGGCATGCAAAAAGCTTTTCCCATTGGATAACTGTATGTGTCCATATATTTATTTCTAGGTTGGATGGATTAATACGTATGTCATTTCAGGGGGGAAGAATCATCATGCCCTAGGTGCTGTTGCAGTGTCTCCCCTGGCTGTCCCAGGGCAACCACTGATGCACAGCACAGGGCGCTGGCAGAGAGGTTCTGCCCGCTTCTCCCCAAGGCAACTGCGGTCGCAGAGGGGCCTTACAGAGACCAAGAGCAAAGGTCTTTATAGGTGGGGTCTGATCCACTCACTTGCTCCTCCCCAATGAGACGGGTGAGAGAATCAGAAGGCTAAAAGTGTGAGAACTCATGGGGTGAGATAAAGGCAGTTTGGTAGGTAATGTGAAAGCTGCGAGTGCAAGCAAAGCATAAGAAGAAATTCATTTGCTGTTTCCCCTCAGCAGGCAGGTGTTCAGCCATCTTCAGGAAACCAGGGTTCCATCATGCATAACGGTGACTTGGGAAGACAAATGCCATCACTCTGAAAGCCCCACTGCTTCCTCCTTCTGCCAGCTTTTATTTCTGAGCACAGTGGCATTTGGTCTGGGATATCCTTTTGGTCGGTTGGAGTCGTTCAATCTAGGATATCCCTTTGGTCAGCTGTACCGGCTATGTTCGCTGCCAACTTCTTGTGCGCCTCCAGGCTGCTCACTGGTGGGGCAGCGCAAGAAACAGGAAAAGAAAAGGCCTTGACGCTGTGCAAGCACTGCTCAGCAGTAGCTAAAACAGCCCTGTGTTATCAACAGTTTTGGTCATAAATCCAAAACACAGCACCATGTAAGCTACTGTGGAGAAAATTAACTCCATCCCAAACAAAACCAGTACACTTAGGAAAGGATGGGTTATCACAGAAACAGCCTATCCTAGTTTTTGTGCCATGTTTAGGTATCTATTCATTAAAATGTGCGTTTTGTAGTTAAGAGTATTTTGTACAAACCTGGTGGGAGCAGAAAAGATGCAACCCAAAAATAAACTTTAGTTAGTTGTTGGCAATGGCAACATCAACACCTCAAAACCAAGCAAACCACAGAACTGCTGTTCTAAAGAGAATCATGGAATCATAGGTTGGAAAAGACCTCTAAGATCATCAAGTCCAACCATCTTGTTGATGCCAGAAGTGTCTCCTAAGGAAGCATCAGCCAAATAGCCACTACCTTGTGTTGTTGGTCTGTAGCCCAGCTTTCTTTGTCCTTTGTTTTATTTAGCTACAGGAAAATAAATGAAGCGACGAGTCCCCATTCTCCACTTCTATTGACTTTCTATTTTTTCCATTTTTTCGCCAAAATAAGTTTTTTGTGAGTAGAAGGCTCCTAGGGCACCTGTCCCTCCACAGGACAGACAGAAGACTCATTTCAAAATGGAAACTACTATTGGGCATAAAGGATAGCGTCCGTTAGTTGTCAACAGTATTCATACATTTAAAAATAGTTATTAGATTGCTGCGGGAATGCCATGTGTCCTGATGCAGTGCGGAGAAACCTATACGCTGTTGTATGGCACGCATAAAAGAAATTCTGTGCAAGAGTTATGTTTAGATTACAGCCTGTGGTGGTGTTAAGATTGTGAATCCTCACTTCTCGCTCACTGAATTGCATGGTGTATCTTACCCTTCCACAAACAAGTCGGGTTAGGGGGAGCATCATAGCAAGAAAGCAAGAGATGAGAAGCAGCATCCTCAAGAGGAGCACACTGGGAATCAGGAGACCTTTGCTCTTTTCTCTCCTTTGCCGGGGACCTGCTAGGCAAATTTAAGCATCTCAATGTCTCGGTTTTTCTCTTTGTTTAAAACTGAAGCAGAATACTGCAAAGCATTGTGTACAATACTGTAGAGGTCTGCAAAGCATTGTGAAGTTTAAATACTAATATTTTATTGTAATAATAACCTAAAAATATTACCAGGGTGCAGACTGGTTTCTTAATGCTCTTTTTTCTTCTTCTTTCTGTTTGGAAAAGCTGTAAGCTTCTAGTTTGTGCGTTAAGACTTCAGTGAGGCACTTAAGCACGCATTTGAAATTAAGCGTGTGCATTAGTCCTTTTTGAATACACAAAGCTATTAATTAGGGCTTGTAGCAAGACTGTTTGATTGTCTAAAGTATGAATAGAATGTGCTTGGGAGGTAGGAAACCGTGCCTTTCAAGCACATACGTATCCTGCTGGTAAAAATTAATAAATAAAAAACCTCCAGTTAGTCATGCACTAGTGTGAGCTTCCATCTCTGAGTCCCCCTCTTCCCTTGCTATGCACGAGATTAAAGTAGGTTATGATCAATATGGTTAGTGCAATAAGTGGATGTAATGATGCTAATGAGCCATTTCTTTATAATGATCAGGTTCTCCAGCCCTGCCCAGCAACATGGTATATTTTGGAAGCTCTCAGGATGACGAGGATGAAGAAGAGGAAGAGGAGGAGACAGAGGACACAAAAACAGCCACAAACAATGCTTCATCATCATGCCAGTCAACGCCCAGGAAAGGAAAAACGCATAAACATGTACCAAATGGGCAAGGTAGGTCCTAAATAGCGCTGTTCTCCTGCACTGCCTCATACGGAAATTTATGAGATAAATGTGCTTAATTGTTGTCCATCCTTCTGGATCTGAGTGAAAAAGGATACAGGCCCTAATGGGAAAATGGAGTGAGATGTAGTGTTAGCATCTTCTGCTTTAACCTGTTTCTCCTGACAATCTGAAGTCTGTGGCAGAACTGTAACTGGAGGGCTGGAATTATAAATACAGATATATGTGTATATACACACACACATATATGTGTAGACACACACAGTCACTCACCCTCTGGCTTTTTTGAGACTGATGTTTAATCTAGAATGATTTTATTTTATCAAAGTTAAATATAAGCATTCGTAAGTGTTATCAAAATGTGTGATGGGACAACACTTAATTTCTAGCATGCAATATTGATATCACAATTGCAGTACATGAAGATACTGCATGTTGTTGATTGAAAATTTTATGGAAGAGGTTTCTTCAGGTCAGCTATTTCTTTGCAATTCAACAAAAGCTGCGTTCATTACACAATATTTATGTCACGATGTCCTTGTGCCATATCTTGATAAATCGATCCATGTATGTTGCAACATCACCTAGTGTAAAATCAAAGACCTAAAAGCCACGCTGAAAATTTTCTGAGCCTGCTATAATTGTCCACTGCCAAAGTCCTGGGTGATGTGGTTGGTTCTCTCTCCAGGAAGAGCTCTAGTATCGTATCAACTCTGTGCCCTCTCTGCCTGACGTAATGGAGCCTGTGCTCTCCATTCTCTGCCTCAGTATTAGTTTACCATGAAAATCTTTCCTGCTGGTGACTGCCCATTCAGCTTGTCCTCCTCTTAGTAGCAGGACTGAGAGGAAGGTCTCCCTACAGCTCACTTTTTGAGAGATGGTTGTGACCTGTGCCTGCGTTCTTTTTTGTTCTTTCGTGCTACTCTCTGCTCTGAAGAAGAGATAAATAGATCCCAGTTACTTTGCTTGCTTTTCAAAATGGAGTTTTCTGTAAAGGGCGCGCTTGTTACATATACCATAATTATTCTTCGTGACTGTGGCTGAATCTATTTTATATTGCACACCCAAGCTCAAAAACTTCGTGTGTTTTTGTGTAGAACTGCAAGGGGATGTTATGCGTAATAGCATTTCAACTGCCAGCTGCGAGCAGGAGCTTTTAATGCTGTAAAAGCCATGGATCAAAACTTGGCACTTTGGATTGATTTCTAAATAAACCCCGCAAAATAACAGCCACAAAACTCTGCATATGGAAAATGAGATTGCGTGTAACAGAAATGCTGCCTTAAAGTTTTAAATATGACATCTCATTACAAAAGGAGCCGATTGTGTTTCTTGAGAATGTCCCAGATGGCAGCCACTTTGAAATTAGCTCAGAACCAGAGACACCTGAAATCTTAATTGGGGTAAGTAAAGGCAAACTTAATGAGCCATCTAATGGCTTCATAATCTTTATCAATATAGATCAGAGTTAGCATAAATGAAGCTGCTGCTTTAGTAGATCTGCAAAAGACCTTTATAAAATACATAGGAGACAATGTGAGATGTTTTGACAAAGGTGGTGAAACAGGAATTCCCAGAGAAGGCGGCTGCTTCTTCTTCATCATTGTAATTTCCTTTTTTCTTCATTTTTATTTTTCCTCCCCTCCTTTTTTTCCTTTTAATTAATTTTTCCTTACCCAGGGGTATTCCCATTTTTCAGTGTCTCTTATTTTGGTTGACAGCCAATGGTATTTTTGTTTCCTGTGAATAAAGTAGGTTCTGGTTCATGTGTGTCTGTTTTAAATGAGACCACACACAAAGGCAGACCAGGGACGGGTGCAGCAAATGAACTTAATCTAGCGTGAGAGTCTATTTTTAAGGAATTAAAGTCTTTTGTTTTTAATATGCAATGTGTAGTCAAGCACTTTGGACCTGAAAATGCTAAACATTTGCTATGACATACGACAACAAAGGTTCAGAGCTTGATTAATGTCATTAGTCAGTGTCAAATGATTACTTTCTACTAAATGGGGGCCAGAACAACTTTCCTGGGCAGTCATTTGTCAGTATCCTCTTCTGATGCCAATGGGTGTTACTAGGGTTGCACACCAAACTATTTGTTATAACCTAGCCTGTTGAGCCACCTTTTGGACAACTAACTCAATCAAAAACGCCCGAGTATGAATAAGAAGCATGTTTAGCATGTGGCATAGCTTGCTGCACAAATTGACGTAATTAGCTCAACTGACTTGTCGCCTTCCAACCTTACTGCTTACATAGATCTGTTCAGAGCATCAGATTATTACCTGTGCCTATTCATCCTCCTTTCTTAGTACTTCTGATGAGCTGCACACATGCCCAGCTGTTAAAGAGCAAGGTAAAATGTTTGGCAGGAGAGTGTTTATCGCCTACGTTCATGGGATTGTGGAAAAGGGATACGTAGCAATGTGCAAGTCTTTCCCTTGTGCGGTATCTTAGTGCAGGCAGTGATAGTCTTGTGGTTAAACCATTTTCTAATATATTGCTGTGGTTGCTACAAGGGAAAAGGGTAGAGCCACGCACTTAAAAGTTGGTTTCATGTCATTGTCAAATTTCAGCTTATTAGGCTGAGCCTGACATATGTTAGGTCTTGGATGTCACTGGTGGTGCTTTGTGCCTTGGTTAGAAATGGGTAGGTGTATCTCATGTTCTGTGGGATGTTCTGTGTGTAACTCTTCCCATTACGGTTTTTTTCAGCACGCTTAAACTTACAAGAAACAATTCTCGCTAAGAGAAGATACTGTCTAAAGGCCTTCAATTTTTGTTTGCAAACGAACTGTTCTCTTGTAACAGAGACTAAAATGTGTGAGTGGTTCTTACTTGCTCATTGATTAAGGTGTGATCTCACAGTACGTGTCATAGATTAATTCAGGTCAGAGAAAACCGCAGGAGGTCATCTAGTTTGACCTCTTCCGCAGAATACCATTGGTAACTTTTCTGATAAATTCAGCAATAAAATTGGCGGACGTTTGTGCTTTTAGTTATATATGTCTTCTCAGGAGGGGGAGATTTTAGAAGCTTTCTAAAACTTGATGTGGAAATTTGGTCCTAATCAGAATGATTTTAATTGAGTTAGGATTTGTAGTGGGGTTAAAATAGTGAAAGGCCAGAAACTGATCAACTGAATCACTTGGTCTCCACAGAGCTACTGACTTCAAAAGGACATTTTCCCAGCGAAGAAACCATATGAACGTGTAGTTGGAAGAGAGAAATGCCTCTTGCTGTTTTGGTCAAGGATTTAATCTTTTTAAAGCTCATAGTTCGCTTTTAACTTCAGACCTTCTAAGTAAGTTTGTGGTGAATTTCAGAATGAACATATGGAAAACTAGGGGTGATGTGATGCTGCATAGTGCAGCAGATAGAGCAGCGGTTTGGATGGCTGTGTTCTGATTGCAGCCCTGTTCCTGACCCTTTGGAGTGTGGGTGTAGGAACCCCGTAATTCTCAGTGTTTAGATCCAGAAAACGCCCAGCTGCGGGACGCCTGCGTGCTGCTCAGATGGATATGCTTATTTTCCAGCTTGCATTTTGTATGCATCTCAAAAGACCGTCAGTCTATCTGAGACGATTACATGGCTTTGAACCTAAGGAATTTGGTGGAAGAAGCCAGGCAGGAGTGTTGGCTTAAACAATATGTTTTTTCTTCAGTGTGGCTGCCAGGTGTGGGGAGAAACTTCTCAACCACAGCCTGGATGACAGGGCATCTTGCCAACGCAGAGGAGGAGATGGAGAGACAGTGATCTATTAGAAAATTGACCTTATGCAAAGGGAGGAGGGTGTCAGTCATCAGCTGCTGCGGGCTGACGTGCAGGGAAAGCAGGTTCTCCGCAAGCGAGCTGTACTGCGCTTCCCTGAGGGACAGGGAGGTACTGAGTCTAAATTACACCTCCCTGCTGCTCGGAGGAAATGCCGAGTTGTAGGTAAGAGGGTAGGCTTAGGTCTCTGTTTCTTTAAAACTGATTCTTTGAATTCCTCATGACTGAAGAGATCCTACTTTGATTTCATTCTGTGGCACAATGGAAGGTTTTCTCTGCAGGCTCCCGAAGGAAAATGTTTGCAGGTGCCAAGTGTTTCGTTAGGCAGCTGGGAGATGCAATGAGGGAGTTGTTGGGTTATCGGTCCCATCACAAGAGCAAAAGGGGATAGGTGTTACTGTACTTGAAAGGGCTTGTGGACTGGAAAAGGGCCTCGGGAGGAGCAGCATACACAGATACAGTTGCGCAGGCGACTCTGAAAGTGCACGGAGCGGGCTACAAATTTCCTCAAGAAGGATGATTGCGGGATTAGGCATTGCTCACACCAGGACAGCAGTTCAGAGCTGGAGAGAAGTGCCCATCTGGGCTGGCATACCTGGGAACGTTGTGTTTGTCTTCGGACACCTGAGATGGACAATTAAGTTCTAAATTACAGTTTGGAAAACGGAGTTAGCCATCACTATGTGTAACCAGACTTCTTCATGAAGGAGAGTTTTGTTTCCTTAGCTGGGGCAAACCAGCTCCAGTGTGTCAAAAAACCTACTGGGTCAGAAAGAGTTACTGGTCCGTGCTGTGTTTTGTTAACACGGTCAGATAAAAACTGCTCTGCATGCCTTTTGCCTGAAATGAGCCAGGGAGAAAATTGTATCGATGCCTTTTTTTCTTGGGGCTCAAATTTCAAAACAGGTCTGGCAGTAGTGCATAGTAAGCAGGCATCGCTAGAAATACTATCCTCTGCTTTAGTGCCGTCTTCCTCGCTTACCAGAAACACAGAAGAATGTTTTGATTCTCAATTTGCAATGGATAATTTAGCAGAGTAATTTCCGTACATGTGTGGTAAGATGATGCAGGAAAAGATTGTAGATGTTTTTTTTTCTTATTTCAGGATTATAGTTCAATGCAGTGTTTGTACATCTTGGGCTTAAATGTAGTATCTTTTATATACCTTACAGTTTGAGAGTGCTGTGAGAAAATTCTAATTTGTGATTGCAATTCCTTAT